TTGTTTAAGCTTCCTCTTATCTATTCATTGATTCATTTAACAGATACTTCTTTTTTAAAAATTTATTTTTATTTATTTATTTTTTGGCTACGTTGGGTCTTCGTTGTTCCGCGCGGGCTTTCTCTAGTTGCGGTGAGCAGGGGCCACTCTTCATTGCCGTGTGCAGCCTTCTCATTGCAGTGGCTTCTCTTGTTGTGGATCATGGGCTCTAGGTGCACGGGCTTCAGTAGTTGTGGCACGTGGACTCAGTAGTTGTGGCTCACAAGCTCTAGAGCTCAGGCTTAGTAGTTGGGGCACACGGGCTTAGTTGCTACGTGGCCTGTGGGATCTTCCCAAACCAGGGCTCGAACCCGTGTCCCCTACATTGGCAGGCAGACTCTTTACCACTGCACCACCAGGGAAGTCCAACAGCTACTTCTTGATACATAGTCTGTGAGGTCAAGAATTCTGCCGGTGTTTGTTATTGGACTACCAGTGACTAGTATAATGTCTGGCAAATGACAGATGCTTACTGGATGTTTTCTGAATGACTAAACGAACCCATGAATGAAGGAATACTTATGCTTAAATTGTAAGAAATAAACCTGACCATGTTTTGACCACAAATGCAGCATTATTGTTCAAAATAAATGGATTGCTGGAGACATGACGATCCAGATTTGATTTTTTTTGCTCTCATGGATTTTATGACCTCTCAGTGTTAGTGCTTTTACAGAGGTTTGTAGTGTGAGCTCCAAAGTCAGAGTGGGGTCTACCCAGGTCCTTTCGTTTCCTAGCTGTATAATCATGGGCAGGTCACTGCCTCTGTGCCATCTGTGAAATGGAGATAATAGTGATTTCTTTCAGAGCCGATGTGACTATTAAGTGAAATATTACAGACACATGCTCCAAACAGTACATGGCACTTAGCCAACAATTAATACATCTTAGTTGCTATTGCTACTATTAATATTAATGAAAGCTTAGTATATGCCAAGCCCTGGGATATAGTCTTTGCTTTTTGTGGGTTGGCAGCCTAGTGAGGGAGGTAAAATGAAACAATACGATGCTTGATAAGACTCTAGCGATAAGAGTACTCTGGGAGCTGAGAGCAGAGATGCCGCACCCAGAATGTCAAGGAAAGCTTGCTGGAGGAGGCCACATCTGAACTGACAGCTGAAGAACAGTAGGACTCAGCCAGGAGTGGGTGGGGGTGGAGGAATGATGAGGATGGGGGATAATGTTGAGAGGCAGAGGAAGCAGCATAAACGGAGACCTGGATGTGAGACAATGTGGCGGTCACAGAAAGAGGGACATGGCAGAGACCAAGAGGGGCATGGCTCAAGAGCCAGCAGGGGATGGCCTAAGGTTTACACTTGAGCGAAGTCATCTAGAAGTGGTAAGAGTGGGTTGTGTTAAGTGAGAAGGAGGAGATGAGCTAAGAGGCTATTGCAGAAATAATGGGAGAGATGGCTGCCTGGGTCACAGCTGTGCCAGTGGAGACAGAACCTTGGCAAACTTTACATCTAGGGGGCGCTGAGGAACTGTCACTTGCTAAGGACTTGGTTTAGCACAGTATAAGTTTTAAACCATGTAAATAGAGTAAGTTCTAGCAGTGTTAAATTTGCAATGATAGAAGTGGGGGATGGATGGATGACAAAGCAAAGAGCAGCCTACACTCAGTCATATTCTAGAATCCTCCTTATTGCCTATTCACATAACTACATATTGTCTGGTCTGGTATTCTGTGAGTGGTGTTGCTTTGCTTTGCTTATGATTAAAATTCCCCCAAGGTGTCTGACAAAACATAAGTAATCCCAGTCATCCTTGGGGCCTTAGAATCCAGAAATCAGAGTAAAGAGTCAAACTCATTGAAACAAAACAATCAGCAAACAGTATATTGCAGAGGGAAAGCATTTTCATTGTTTTTCATTCTCTTTTCAGGTTGATGAGGAGAGCTTTCTGTTTTCATAATCCTTCAAACTATGCTATGTTGTAAGATCCTGGTAGATGAGACAGACCAAAATCATTTATTGATAAAACAAATAATTATCGAGTACCTACTAGGCGTAAAGCAATGGGCAAAACTGATACTGTCCTTGCCATCGTGGAGCCTACATTGTAGAAGATGGAATGTTATATTTTGATGAAAAGTGGTAAAAATATTTTTTTCAAGTATTTTTTGGCATCAGATGGCAGTATAGGAAGTTAAAGTACGATGTATTTGTGTATCAGATCCTTCTGGTGTTTCCCATATGAGATAGTATAGAGTGTGAGGATTACATGAGTTAAAACATGACTAATGCTTAAGACATAGTAAGTTAATCGATGTTAGCTATTTCATATTAAGTGATAAATTATTTTGCTAGTTTTTCTTACTGACTCAGGAGGATTATTACCTCTGACTCAGGACGATTACCATCTCTTAAATCTTATCCACAAGCACCATCTGATAGACAGGCTACCATCATTGTCTCGCTCGGACCTCAGCAGCAGCTTCCTACCTGGTCTGTCTGCATGCTTTCTCTACCCAATCTGTTCTCCATCTTGCACCAAAGTAAAGTTTATGCTCTAAAATTAGAAGCTGCAATCACTCCTGTAAACATTTCCATGGAACTAAGTGGCTTAAAGCAACATAGATACATTCTTAAGCTTTTCGATGTCAGAAGTCAAAAAATCATTTTCACTAGGCTAAAATAAAGGTGTTAGCAGTGCTGGGTTCCTTTTGGAGGCTCTTGGGACAATCCATTTACTTGCCAGATGGCAAACCATTTACTGTCTCAGGTTCTGGAGGTCACCTGCATTCTGGGACTTATGGTCCTGTGTCATAATGAGTGCTGCATTTGTTACCACATCTTCTCCCTCGACTCACTTGCTTTTCTTTCACTCTTAAGGACTCTTGTGATTATATTGGACCGACCCAGATAGCCCAGGATGATCTCCAACTCAAGATCCTTAATTACATATAGAAAATTCTTTTGATAGGTAGGGTTACATATTCACAGGTTTTGGGAATTAGGTGATGGACATCATTTGGGGGTTATTATTCTGCCTACCACAGTTCCTATTATGTCACTGAACAGCATAGAATACTGGGGGAGGTGAGTATTAATTTGAGTGTAAATGTCCTGCATAAAGCTTTTCTCTAGATTCCTTTTTTTTTTTTTTTTTTTTTTTTTTGCGGTACGGGGGCCTCTCACTGTTGTGGCCTCTCTTGTTGCGGAGCACAGGCTCCGGACGCATAGGCTCAGCAGCCATGGCTCACGGGCCCAGCCGCTCCGCGGCATGTGGGACCTTCCCAGACTGGAGCACGAACCCGCGTCCCCTCCATCGGCAGGCGGACTCTCAACCACTGCGCCACCAGGGAAGCCCTAGATTGCTATTTTTTAAGATTAAAGACTAGAACTGCTAATATGGCCTTGGAGGTCTCCATGGCCTAGCCCAGCCCATCACTTGTCTGGTCCTCCAGTCTCTTCATGGGGTCTTCTCTGTGCTTAAAGAACTCCCCTCCATTTCCTCCTAGTTTCTCAGAACCTTGCTACGGCCTCTGTTTAAACCATCCCTCTCTCCCTCCCTCCAAATCTTTTTGCCTATTTTCCTGCCTCTTGCCACTTGAAGAGAAAACTCTGCTTCATTAGGGAGCATTATCTTGGCCTTCTCTGTGCTGGTCAAATATTGTGCTGCATGCAGTCCTGGAGCCTGGACCTCTCCTTCACAGCACTTTATTGCAGCTTGGAATTGTTGGTGTTCTTTTTTTTATCTGTAAGATCTGTGAAAGCAGTAACTATTTCGATTGTGTACTCAATTCTGATCATTTATTCAGTGCTCAATAAATATTTGTTAGAGGAATGGAGTTAAAATGAAAGGATAGTGTGCCTTGAAGTTTTGGTTGTATGCATCTGTGTAGTGCTGTCGTAGCCATAGGCAGAATGGGGTTTTGGGTTATAGGAAGGGTTTGTTCAATAGCAGAAGGTAGGAGATGGTTAATTATTGAGTGAAGCAACCCAGTATTTTTCATTTATCGATAATTTCATTATTCAGTAATTTTCAGACCCTTCTTTCATCTCTTTAAAAGTGAGTACAAGACTTAACTGTCTAGCATGAACATGTAGGATCTCAGAGGCTAAGAATGCCATTAAATTTTAAAGTGGCCTTTCATCAGAGTTGATATCATGGGCAGAGGCAGTTTTCCTGGCTTGGGCCCATCAGCTGAGGAACTTTGAGTGTATAATCATGGTAGCCTCTGTTAACACTGGTCTTCAAGAGAATTCTGCTCAACTTTACTGCAGCCACTGCCACTCAGCGCTGTGGACTGTTAGCATCTGTATGTCAGTAGGTCTAAGAAAGTGTTTCAGAACAGAGAAGAATTGCTTTGTTTTGTATCTGACTCAACAGATGAATTCCTTTAATTTTATATTTCATTAAAATATGAGTTTTCTCTTTTATTTGAGCCTGATTTATACTTATACAAACTTAATTAGCATAATTTCCCTATTTAAGCTAAAACATTTCACCTTGATGTAGGCAAAGTTTAGTTCAGTTATCCAGCTTTGTTGCCAAATCAGTGGATTTCTTGAAAGAGAACTTGTGGAATTCAGAAGTGCTTTGGGTTGTTCCTATTTAATGGAGAGAATTATTTGGGGAATAAAAAGCAATTTAAAAGCATAATCTTAAATTTTTTCTCTCAGTCTACTGATGAATATGCTAATTATTTAACTTAAGAAATCTGTGATACATATCTATACCTAATCTATGCTTTGCAATATAGGTACTTTCACACTGTATTGAAAAATACTACTTATATTTATATTCATGTTTCTATAGTATGAGAAATACAAATTCTTAACCAACCCCTTTACTAGACATGATTAAAAATGCATAACATTGACTTACTTAGTAGCTTTCCGTTTTTAATGTCCCTATGAAGATGTATTAGTAGTAATTAGTAACTCAGTTTTGTTACTAGCTTAACTTTAGTTAAGAATCAATTGATACGAGATGTGTGCATACTTTCCTTATAGAGTATCTTGGATAAAGGACATTGTTGTGGCAGTAACTGGAGAGAACATGGAAGCAATGAAGTATATTATTCAGAGGTACCAGCATAAAGGCATCTCTCTGGTTGAATCTGGAGTGACCCGCCACAGGTCAATTTTCAATGGACTAAAAGCACTGGCAGAGGATCAGCCCAACTGTAGACTCTCAAAGCCAGAAGTAGTGATTATCCATGATGCTGTGAGACCATTTGTGGAGGAAGATGTCCTTTTTAAAGTTGTCACAGCTGCTAAGGAACATGGGGTAAGTATTGAAATACTACTGAGAATGGATAAAAGGGGCAAATGCTATAGCACATACTCATTTGCTGGATTTTGATGGAATTATATTCAGTATTTAAATGTCAAGTTAATTAAAATGGGCAAGATGACATAAGACGTTATGCTAATTTGTTTTAGGAAATTTATATTATTATAGATTGTGAGACTGTTCTGGAATTTCTTTTGCTAGGTAGTCATTTATCATAATGTAATATGAGCTATTTGGAGAAGAATGCAATAATGTCATTAGAGTGTGGTTATGAATGGATGGACCTTAGCTGCATATTTAATTTCATTCCTTTACCTAAAAATGCCGAAGAGGGACTTCCCTGTCAGTCCACTGGTTGGGACTCCGCGCTTCCAGTGCAGGGGGTGCAGGTTCGATCTCTGGTTGGGGAACTAGGATCCCACATGCCGCGGCATGACAAAAAAAGAAAAGAAAGCCTAAGAATCTTGTAAGAGTCTAGGAGCTATGTGACTTAAAGCAAAAAAAAAAAAAAAAAAAAAAAAACCTGGCTCATTTCACCCAATTTTTGTTTTAATTTTTTAGAAGTGGTTTATTTTTTAGCACAAACAGCCAGGCAAGATTTTCACACCCCTTAAAGTGAATAGTCTTAGGATGACAGAATTCTGCGTTCACTTCTCTTTCACCAAAATAAACACAGGATAGCAGAAGATCTATTGTAATCTTTGGAACATATTTATTTTTTTAAAATTACTGAGTAAAATCCTGTAAATGACATAATAGATACTAAACTTAAGTTTGCAGTTTAAATTTGAGACAGTGAAAATTTATGGCCCAGACTTAGTATAGTATAATAGAAATAGGCTGTAGGGGCTTCCCTGGTGGCACAGTGGTTGAGAGTCCGCCTGCTGATGCAGGGGACACGGGTTCGTGCCCCGGTCCGGGAAGATCCCACATGCCGTGGAGCGGCTGGGCCCGTGAGCCTTGGCTGCTGAGCCTGCGCGTTCAGAGCCTGTGCTCCGCAACGGGAGAGGCCACAACAGTGAGAGGCCCGTGTACCACAAAAAAAAAAAAAAAAA